TATCCAAACCATCGTTAAAAACCATTCTCCATAAAATTACAATCCACGCCCCATTAGATGAACGCAGTGGCGACGAAAGGAAAAAGGCGGTTTAAACGCGTGGCCAGCCTCCTCGCGGGGAGGGGAAAAAATTTGTTTCGTGATAAATGGAAGCGAGTGAATAAAATTTGACGCGATCCCCCATCGACAAATTTCTATTTAGTCAAGTGGCGGTGTTAGTTAGAGCCAATTAAAATATTTTCGTTGGAGAAACTCCGATGAGGTATCGGTGACGCGAGAACAGCAAACACGGGCGTATAAATTCGACGAGGTACAGACATTCTAAAATAACACCTATCCCGGCGCTCCGTAGTAATATAGTTCGGTATTTGAAATAAAAGCACGGTATGGAAGGAGGGAGGGGGGGGAAGGGAGGGGAGGAGGCGAGCGAAAACACGAGAATGGCTAATACCGTTCGTACGGGATGGCGAAGGTGTTAATCTTAATCCGCTGACTCTAACGTGGACCAAGTGGATAAATTATCGCTGGAATTAAAGCGAGCGCGAAAATTCATGGTTATGTATAGTGGCTGACAGTGCATTTCAGCCTATTCAATGTACATAATATGGGATATATTCGCTTCGATATAATTTTACTACCTTCCTCGCGACACAGCGAGGCAGTAAAATTGATCGAGCATCGAAGATTTCTTGTTTCGAAACGTTTTTAGCATGAAATGACTTGAAGAGAGAGAAAGAGAGAGGGAGAAAAAGAAAGGAAGAAAGAAAAGGAAAATTCGAGCGGAATAATTACAATTCGAACGAATAAATTTTAAAATCGAAAATAATCTCGAAAGTCTTGGAAATCTCCGTTAAACTTCCCCAATATGAACCCGTATAAATTTGTTCGAGTTTGAATTTGATGTTGCTTTATCAACCGGTACACGGCTGCCACACGATACTCTAATTTAGAAACTCGCTATATCACGAAAGTTACTATACCACGCGCGGAAAAGTTACCAACGTGTGCAATCTCGTTCGTGAAATTCGTATTCGTATCGTGTATACACATCGCATCGTGAGCCGGATGATTGATGGTGTCATTCTTTTGAGCGAAAATCTGGCACCGACTTATTCCGTATACGTGCCTTCAAAATTTGTCACCGCGCGAACACTTCGCAACGAACGACCGTGAACTCGCGTGAACTCTGAAGAAAAAAAGAAGAAAAAAAGAGAGAGAAAAAAAAAACTCTCGAAACGCTACGCGCTATCCCCTCAACTTGATTCATTCCACATACACACCGGCCAGTCGATTTCCTCCGCGTAAAGCGCGTAACGGGCTTAACGGACGAGAGTCGGCCAAATACCGGGCCGTTTAACTAAATTCCGTGTAAATACGATGATGCATCGGCTTATTCATTCTAATTGCGTCTAAAACACGAGGCGGGCACGCCGAGCAATTCCAACTGCGCGATTCAGGGAACAGGCCGAGCCGGTCGCACGTTCGTTCGTGAATATCCGACGCGTGTGCGACCGAGTGTGAGACGGGCTTAAAGGCGAGCGTCTACACCGCGTTACACGCCAATAAATTGTCCATGATGATGAACATAAGTTGGATAGTTGTTCAAAACCGGTGACTTATTTTCTTTTGTGCGATACGAGGCTCTCTATGACCGACATCAATTATTAAATAGAACAAAGTGTTGTGGTTGGAAATATCTACAGGGAAAATAGAATTATTTATAGAGAAATTCGCGGTGGTTGATAAACACCGATGTTTGTCAGTTTCGCATGCGTCCGCCCGCGAATTATCGTGCAACGCATTATTTGCATATCGCGCATTAAGCACAACAATGCAACAATTCAAACTCCTTTGACGTAGCTCCTACCTTGACAAATATATCCTCGCGATAATCGTTTACATTATAATAGTCTAACGTTTAATATAGCCGCAAAGAAGGTTTTTTTTAATCGAAAAACGTTTCATTTTCTTTTCCTTGATTTTCTTCCAAGAATTTAATAGCGAATAATAATACGCTCGACAAAATATGACTTCTCTCCGAACTTTCTTCGGAAAAGAAAAGAAAAGAAGCACAGTGGAAAAAATAGAAAGCACAACCGGGAGGATTAAGAAACTTCATTTCACTCGGAATGTTGTTTTCCCCTCGGGAGGAAGTTTTTAATCAAATTACTAAATCGAAAGCACGCGTAGGAGAGTAGCGTTCGTTTCGAATCTCCCGACGAGAGTATCTCTCGAGAGTATCTCTCCGTTTCCGTGTTACGTGTCATTAAATCACGCGATTGTGAATCGCGGTTCGAAGCGAAGAGAAGAAGAGAAAACCTACGTCACGTGACAGCCGCCTTCGTGTCCTCAAGCTGGAACTTTAGATCTCAGTCTACTTCATGATACGAGAATTTCGAATTTGGCCCACCGGTCTCGAAATGTCGGGGGAGGGGAAATAATTAAAATAAAGCAGATCTGCGAGAGTTAAACGCGGTGGTGAGAACAGAAATGGCAGAAGGGTTGGCGAAGAGGCGGGCGAAAAAGAAACGACGAGAGAGCGTTGCCTTAGCGCGTCGCGTAAAAGCCTTCGGTTTAGAGGTCTCTTTAATTAGTGCGTCTGTCGTGAAGATAACGAGAAAAACGAAAAAGACATAGAGAGAGAGAGAGAGAGAGAGAGAGAAAAGAAAAATAAGCATTGTGACCGGAGAGCTATGCGAAGACTCGTAAATGGATGGAGTGCGAACAATGCCAGATCGCACAAGCATCGACCATTCGTGAGACAGAAACAGCGACAGGGCTCATCTATTATTGGCGCAAAACAGAAATAAAATGCAGTGCGACGGCCTGCGAAACGTATGGTGCTCACATTGTGCCAACAACTTTTGTCTCGCCTTTCGTTTTCAATATTTTTTTCCCCGCGCGCCTTCACGCCTCCCCGCACTTGACCTCTCCCCTATTGACCAATTGGAACACGATTTTATCTATTTTATCGCGTGCATATACATCGATATAACACGGCCCTATTGTCAAGCGATGTTCGGCAAGCGATTGTCCGGCGCAGCTCGTGTCAAGAGTCGTTGAAACGACACCAGCACGGACCGACGACGTCTTGTCGCTTGCTCGTCCTTTTGATATTTCGCTTCGTATCATCCATAAACGCCCCTGGAATGCAACGCTCGCGTTTACAAACATTCGAACCCGAAAATGCATCGGATGAATCAGAGGAGAGGCAAAAACACAGAGATTACAGGGGATTCGAAAAGCATCGAGGGCGTTTAATTTTGTTTGATTTAATCAAGAGCGCTCGAGCGCTTTTGATTTTCCAACAATTTCCGTGTTGTCGAACAAGTTGGAAAAAAAAGTTGAATTTTGATAGATAAACGATTAGAAACGGAGAAGAAAGGTCGGTCGAAAGTTTCGTATAAAAATTGCGAGATAAGATATTGTTGGCTCGTAGATAAACGGATCAACGAGAATATACTTGATCTCTTTCTTTTAGCAATGCATAACGAAATCCATCCAGAGATACTATACTAGAATCATTTTTAGTAAAAAAAAAAAAAAAAATGATCATAAACTATGATACAACAATTTAATTATTTATATCTCTGGATCTAAATTGTACCGCAAAGATAATTTTCAAAACTTACCACAGTGATGGGGTAGACCGGGTTAATAATTGTGAAGAGGAGAACGTGGTTTGGTTTATTATTGTCTTCTCTGAAAAAGAAAAAAAAAAGGACAAAAATTTAATAAACGTGCGATCAGTCGATCTCGTTTCACGCGTGTTTCACTTATCGTTAAAAACCTACAATACTACGGCAATTTTTCCTTACGATAAACTCGCTGAATAATGGTAACGATTTAATCGTTGGAAAACGTTAAATCTCCCTTCCCTCCCTCCTCGTTGTATCGCGCCACGCGAAAACTTTACCGAGTCACGATAGTGAAAAATTTCCGCATTTCAGTAACCGTGGTAGGTAAACGACACGTTGCAACGTGAAATTACATCAGCCGGTGCACAGTTGGCGAAATTTTTTTTTTTTATTGAATCGCTACCAACGGTTCACAGCCCCTAGGGATATTCGATTATCCGGAAAGAAGGAACGAAGGAAAAATCACACAGTCCGGTAATTTCCTTCCGAGATTCAAACGCGGTCGAACGATACAACGAAAGGGGGAAACGAGTATTGATGGATAGCCTCGGCTATACATTTTTCATACCCGACATCGGTGTATACTCCCTCGCCCTCCCTCTCCTCCTTTTTGGCCTCCTCTTTGCAATCAATTGGAAATTCAACTGCCTACCCATTTTTCCGCGAGAAGAGAAAGGAAGAGAGGGATACCCTTGGAATACTCTTCTTGGTTCTGCAATTCAAAGTGGCCAATTCTCCTTTCGCGAATCTGTTGCTTCTACTCTAAATGATTAAACTTTGTGCCTCGAAAACCTCCAACTCGAACGCAAATGAAGAGAAGGAAGGAGGAGAGCGGGGATGGAAAAAAGAAAAAAAGGAAAAACTTCTTAGTTCACCGGTCCAATAGAGGATATTCTCGTCCGTCGATCCGTCCCCTCCTCCTTCGTAACTAAAATACTTTTTAGCCACCAAGAAAGTATCCAAGGAGTATGGAAATGTACCGAGAGCTTTGTTTGCGCGATTAAAACGCCAAAGTATCGACGTATCTCTTTATATATATATAAATATAAATATACCGATCGTTAAAACACTGGAGCGCGTCGAAACGATTCCTTGTATCGTTGCTGCTCGCGAAGACAATTAACTTGGCCGATCGAAAGAAGCGAGGAACGACAAAGAGAGGAGGAATTGGCCGAGTGATAACGGCCAAGTGATCGCGCCCCGATGGATATAACGTCGAAATTAATTAAAACGTTGCAGACGGTCGCCGAAAATTTCGCGCTGATTCGAAATACCGTCTCGGGCCAAGTCTAATAATAAGAAGTTAACTCGAGCGTTAAATCCGTGATTCAGAGAGGCAAGAATTTGATATCAATTCCGATATTCCTCTCTCTATGGAATTCGCCATGTCTTTCATCCACGAGATGCTTCAACGGGGATGGGATGGGAACGAATGTATTTTGACGTCAACGCAAATCCGTTTTTAAATCAACGTGACTCCGGGTGAATCACGAAGTTGATTGCGAAACTTTCGTCGAAATAATATTTTAAACTGTTTTCTTCGCCTCCTTCACTTCGACCTCTTATTCGACTATGAATCAGCTGATCATCGTGCTTCGTTATCGTATCATCGATTAATATAACGTATCAACGGTATGGGATAAAGTAGATACGAGGGTATTATTATAAAAGGGCCTCATTGTCGAGCGAAACGAGTTAGTTACGCGAGTCAATGGGTCAACGCAACGCGAACATTATAAGATCAATTGTTGAATGAGGACAAGAGGAACGAGTGTGTCTCCGCATATATCGATATTCTAATTAATATAACTAAGCTTGAAATAATCGTACAAACGTCGAGCATGTATTATTTTGAGATAATTTTTACGTGAAAAATTGCAAATGTTCCAAGGATAATTAATATTTCTTTCGTATACATACCTTTTACGTCGCGGCTCGTCTCCGTACCCGCCATACTCGTGATTCTGAAACAAACACGAACACAAGGTATTAACAAAAACGTAATTAATAAAACCCACAACGTAGTAATAATAAAGATATACATAAGAGTAAACAAATTTTTTTTACCAAAACGAATCGATATATATATTTACAATTTTCAATATATAAATTAAAATTAAAAGTAAGACTCGAGAGACAAGTGAAAAAGAATTCGGAAATTTCATTCTACTTTTTCCTCGAAACATCCCCTTTTTTTTGGATTTCACTCTTATAATATAAAACAAGATTTGGAAAGAATACGAAATATATTCGGAGATGTTCGGAATGGAAATGGTAAAAGTGTTTCTCGCAAAACCAACGTTTATACTGAATTCCAGTCCCTTTTCCCGGTAATAAAATAAAATTTTTAAAAAAAGCAAAGTTTTCGCAGTTAAAACGAGAATATTCTCAAAGCATGCCTCTTTTGAGTTCCTTACTCCTTATTCAGAAATTCACCTCCCACAATCCAACGAGCATTCGAAAGTAATAGAAAATACAAACGTAGAAAAATATAAGAGGGGGAGAAAAGGAATTTCGCGAAGCTTTGCAGATCGAAAACAAAATTGGTTCGATATCTGCGATTCAAAAAACTAGCGGAGCATTCACTCCGCGAGCTTTCGATTCTCGCGCCATCATCTGTGCGCGTATCGTGGCGAATCGATTGCATAAGAGAAATTCACGTTGCGATTTTGGCTGAATTTCGATGGCGATGTCAGCGGGGATGCGTACTCGGGCAAATCTATTAATACACGTTCACGCGTCTTTTTACGACAGCACCCAAAGCGACGGAAATAGTGCAGCGAGATACTTTAGGGGCGGTGGATGTTGGATATCGTAGGTAAAACCCTTAAAGCGTATATCGCGGAATATCGTTTCAATCGATTATCGGGAAATAACAGGCCTAACGCTTGACGGTTTCAAGCACAATTTAAACGAAACTTGGAAACATTGGTGAGATATAGAGATATATTTCGTGGAATCGAGTATTTTAAATAGCTAAAGCAGCATATAAGCGTGAAATTTATCGTACAATGGAATCTCGAACTTGCGAACATAATATGAGACAATATATGTGTATATATATATATCTATATATGATTCGAGAGATAGAGAGACGTGGGATGACTCAATTTTCCAATGAATGGGCCACGTGGTTCCGCGTTCTGAGAACTAATTTTAGACACGATTTCAATTTACTTTAATAAAATAAAAAAGAAAAAAAAAATTTGACCGTGCGACGATGAATGAAAATTATAATAGAGAATTTTCGTTTAATAATGGATGATAATAATGAACAAAAGTACGTATTTCCGAATAGACGAAAATACGATAAACGATATCTTCAATGTTTGTCCGATAATAGAGTTACGAAACTAATTTATACTATCCACGACGTGTATTGAAGATAGAAACACCGTTTAATCATAATTCTGACGAAATTCAACAAAAGCGGTTACGTAAGTGCGTTTTAACCGGAAATAATTCAAAGATATCGAGGTTGGAGAAAAAAATTCCAAGACCTGGAAAGCAGCAGAATCGAGAAGACGAGAGGAGGCACGAGGCGAGAAGAGTGGATGTAATCGAATAACGAGTCTCTGTTAGAAATTAACATTCGTTATTCGTCGCCAGAGCGGTACCAATTAACCGTTCTTTTATACCGAAAGCCGGCCTCTATAAAGGTCATTTAAATTTCAATTCGAGTTTCTCGGCGAATCGTTGTTTTGTCGGTCTATATTTAAAAGTAGTCGCGAATAGAGCCATGTCGATTTGAATTTCACAGCGACTCCTGCGCCAAAATTTCCCTTCCTTTTTTTCGCAAAACCGATTACGAAGAGGATCGATTCGAATTTCCATCGAAATCCACCGGGAAGAAGAGTTTTAGGTAGATAATTTCCCATCCTTTAATTCGATGCGTGGAGAGAACGGCAGTCTGTGCCAAAGTATTCGAAAAGTGAAACATTAAGAGAATAATCTCTCTCTCTCTCTTTTTCCCTCTCTAATACGATTAACACTTCGATTCGCCCAGGCAAAAGCGCATTTTCGCAAGGATCGTTCGAGAAATTAGAGTCGAGACGAGTCGAACGTTACACCGTGAAAATATCGTACGAATCGATCCGATCTCTATCCACCGTGGAACAAACTATCGATCCAATCTTGCGATAACGTTATTTAATCGCGACCCTCGCCTAGAGAGCACTTTGTACGCCGAGAACAGAGGTTCGAGCTGATTCGTTTCCAAATATTCTTGAAAAACAAGGAGAGCAAAGATGTAGAAAGAGTAGCAAAGCGGGCAGATGTCCAAGTAAAATCTCGTTGAGAGAGAGAGGAAAAAAAAGAGGGAGGGGGGAAAAGGAGGAGGGGAAGACCGCGGTCCAAGATTTCTGACGGCATGTCGCATAGTCGTATATACTGCATAGTATCGCCGTTACGAGGCACGGTGAATCCCACGTAGAATCTCTAATACGTTGTTATAAACATAACTCAACGTTGGCTGCACGCCAACCACGTGGTTTCACGCTCAATGGATCACGCTGACCGCCCGAAAAAAATATCACCGTCAACGCCCCTCGTTCCTGATAAATTTTCGCGTATCGCGATAGAATGAGCGGGATCTCGCGTAGCCTCGATCATTCGCGTCACTTCGTTCCCGGAATTAACGGACGAGATCGGATCGCTCGCCAAACGCGCGATAGCATTCAATGTTTTTTACCCGATTGTAAATCAAAATTTTATACA